TCTTTTCACGTGTATGTGTGCACATGTGTATGTGCATTCGCACGTGTGTGTAACATACCTTGTGTGTATGTGTATATGTATGTGTAGATGTATATACATAATATGTATGTATATATGTGTATGTATACTTTTTCTTTCAGAAGGGGCTCTGTTCCCTTCTCTGTTGATGGGGCGCTGGGGGAGCAGCTTGCTCTGCTGACTCTGGCATGGTCCCGCAGTTAGTGGGCGCTTTTGGTTGTCTTTCGACCTCTGGTGGCGACGGTGGACGGCTTCTCCCCCTTTGGGGGGTTTAGGGCTGATGGGGTGGGCTTCTTTCCCTGCGCTTCGTTGTGTCATCTTCGTGGGTGCATTGGACGTGGTTGTGGTCCTTCTGGGGTTCCCGTCTGCTCTATGCAGACATAGGCCTGTCGAATCTGTGGTTCTTCTGGACTTCTTCAGTCTGCGCCCTGGATTCTATGTCCTCATCGGAGGACAGTTGTCATTGTCCGACTTCTGTTGGGGCTGGGTGCCTAGATGGTGGCCCTGGACCTCCAGGTCAATTCTTGGCACGTTCTTCTCCAGTTTTCCGGGACTGGCACAGTTGGTGGTGGGGCTTCAGGCTTACTGCTTTTGTTGCCTTCCCTATTTTGTATTGGCACTTGGTGTATTTACGCATCTTTACCGGATCTTGGTGCCCTGTCTGAGTCTGCTTGGGATTCAGTGTCTGGCCTACCTCAATGACTGGCTGGTGTGGGCTCCCAGTCGGTCCGCTTGTCTGCTCGCCAGGGGTGTGGTTCTTTCCAGATTGCCGGGTTTGGTTTCCTGGTGATCTGGAGGTCGTTCCATTTGTTTCCATCCTGGATTCGGACTTGGCTGGGTCTTGTTTAGGGCTCTTGGGCTACTCCTGGTCTTCCCTCCAGAAGTGTTGCTGAGGCTGTGGTCCCGCCTTCGGCTGTTCATAAGGGGGTCTCAGGTTGCTTGGCAGTTGCTTGAGTAGTTGTGCGGGAGTCTGAACTTCGACGTGCTGGTCTGCCCGCAGGGTTGGGTTTGGCTTTGGCGTCTGTTTGGTTCCTTCGGAGACTCCCCTTCCGCCTCTTGCAAGCGTTGGGTTCGTTCCTCCGGGATCTTGTGTTGGTGCTGCGTCACCTGCTTCCTCTTTGGGTTCCGTGCCTTGGCATCTCCCTGAGCCTTCACTTGATGTGTTCACGGACGGGTCATCTCTCAGCAGTGCTTTGTGACCAGTGCTCACCAGGTCGGCCGGGGATGGTAGGTGTGTCCGTCCGTCGGGCTAACAGCATGGTTCGGGAGTTTGTAGCTGTCTGGTTTGCGCTTTGGAGGATTTGGGTCACTTGGTGCTCTGCCATTCAGCCCCATTCGGACTGTTCTCTGGCAGTTCTTTGCCGGAACCACAGGGTTTCTCTTAGGTGTTTGTCCTTTGGGGTTGGTCCCTTAGAGTGGCTCGGTTGCTGGATTCTTGGGGTTTGGCTAACCTCACTATGACGTGAGGTTCATGTCCGGGGTATGTCCTGCGTCCTGACAGACAGCTGTCTCGGTTCATTCCTCTGTTCGCGGATTGGCCAATCGTTGCCGACTCGTTTCGTTGACTCTGCCAAATGTATGGACTCCTGGCCATGGATGTCTTCGAGTCGGCGTGGTCTAGTCGGCGTGGTCTAGGCGTCGCCCATTTTATGTGGTGCCCTTACCCGCCTGCGAGGCGTTCACGGTGGATGCCTTTCGGCAGGACTGGTCGAGGTGGGAGTACCTGTTCCTCTTCTCCCGGTCCAGCTGTTGCTTTGGGTTCTGGCTCGGTTGGAGCCCATTCCCACGAGAGTAGTCCTTATGGTCCCTCGGTGGCCGGCCCAGCTTCTTTTCAGACACTGCTTGATAGGTGTCCGAACCTGGGGCGTTTTCCCGCGGCTCCGCCGCTTCCGGCAAGTTGGACCAGTCCTGTATGTGACTGGTTCGGCCTTCTCCTCGGATCTTCGCGTCTGGTAATTTGACGCGGGTATCACCATCTCTGTGGTGATCAGGTGGCTTTGTTGATGGTGTTCCACCTGTGAGCTTTGTCTCGGCGACAGTATGACGTTCCAGGTGTGTCTATGCACTTTTTCTTGCTCTTCGTAGGTTGTCTTCTCTTTCACATCGGGTTGTCCTGTCCTTTCTAGGGATTTCAGGACTAGTTTTGATGTTTCTTACTGTCGCCTCGTTTTGTGTGGCGCTGGCGGAGCCGCTCTGGCTTGCGTTCAGGGTGGACGTCACATCTGCCCCGTTTCGTACGCTTTCTCGTGTTTTGTTTCACCTCCGGCCTGCTCATGCGTCACCTGAGCCGTCCTGGTCTATGATCAAGGTGCCTTCTTATTTTCTCCTCAGTTTTTGGTAGCCCCTTCGGTTCAGGTTTCTGCTCTTTGGTACTGGTGGTAGGTTTGTATGTTTGCAGCCTTTCTCCGTCCTGGCGACGGTTGAGACGGCTGCTTTCTGGAGGGGGGTTCTTGGGTTATTGATGCTTGTTTGGTTCAGCCGGGGGTGCGTCCTGTACTGTCTGGTTGCGCTTTTTGGTGTTACCTGCGTACCGTGTCTGGGGATGCGCCTTGGGTTGATCTGGTTCCCCTCGTTCCCTGTTTCAGGGCTCGGGTCTCCCAGGTCGTCCGCAGAGCTTTTAACACTTTCGCACTCTCGGCGCTCAAAAAAAAATAATACCCTAGATGCTTTCGGCGCTCCGCGCGCCTATGCGGTAAGACCGAAAAAGTGTACACTCTTTTGACTGTCCTGACAATAATTGAAGGCGCACGTATTTAAATTTGGTATCACTGTGTTCGCAATGAAATTGTCTATAAGAGCATACCTATAAAATGCTGCCCAAGCATAAGGACTGTCAACACCAAATAAAAAACTATTCAGATCACTCGCCAAGAGCGCCAAACAGCAACAAAATGTTTCCACTCTCTTAATGGTTGTGAAGCCTACAGTTGTCCTACATCGCTAATTGTGGTATCATTGGAATCGCAATAAAATTCCCTACACGGACATATGCATATAAATATAGATTTAATGTCGTAGACCACCCAAAACAATGTGGGAAGTGGCCGAAGTGTTACCCGCGGCAGCATATCGGCGAAACTCGCTTTGAAAAGTGTATATTCAATTCACTGTCCTGACATTATTTGTCGATTTATGTATTTCATTTTTGTACCAATGTGCTCACAATAGAATGTTCTATAAGAACATAAGTATTAAAGGTCACATAAGGATGCGTTCGACCGGCAACATATATAAAAACTACGTCGATTACACTCGTCGTGTCAATAATACAATTGTTTTACCACGATGATTCACTGCCACACCGTTTTCTTTTATAAGCTGTTCGGCTATTAAAGAAAACGTAAATTTCATGGCAAACATTTGTATACTATTCCCAAGTTGATCGGATAATAAATGGATTTTATACAAATATTTTTTCGATGGACTACAGGCGTCGTCTGTTATGCGGTGACGCATAAAAAACGGTGACGACTCATGGATAATCCTAAGCGCGAAAGTGTTAAGTCTTCCAGCCTGCGGTCTGTCTTTGCGCCCGTGCTGTTCGGACGTTTGCAGCTTTTGCTGCTGTGTTGGTGATGTTTAGGGCTCATTTCGGGCGCAGGGATTTGAGGGTCGCACAGGTTCTTGGCCGCCCATTCTTTTTGCGCGCCTGCTCCTGTGCATTCTTGTTGCCTTGGGTCGCAGGTTGCAGCCCGTTGTCTCGGCTTCGTGTTGCGGAGTTTAAGGTGGCCGCTTCCCGGGTCAGCCCTTTCTTTTCCTTCTCTTTGGGTATGAAGCTCCAGGGAGCTGAAGGGGCTCCCCACAGAAAACCAGTGTTGAATGCAATGAAACGCCATTTTCTGGATGAGCCCCGGAGGCTCCCTGGCAACCCTCCCTCCCACCGGTCAGCAGTTTTTTCGCGTTGGTTGAAGCTTAGCTTCTGAACTGGTGCTAGGCAGCCGGCGCAGTAGGTCCGGGGCTCTCCCCTCCCCTCTCTTGGGGCGGAAAGGGCTGCGCGGACGATCGGCGTGGCAGTAAAGTGTGATGTTTGCTTGTTTGCTTGTTTCCTTGGGATTGTAGGGAGTTTCTACCTCTCTGTTTGATTTTTTGTTTTAGTTTTTACCATGTGGGGTTTGTTTTGTCATGCCTACCTTTCTGGGTGCAAACCCCGGTCGATGGCAGATAAGGAAAACCCCAACCACAAGGGGGTTTTCCAGGGCCATTGCTCCCTGAAACCTCTCTGAAGAGGCCAGGTTCTGGTGCTGGTCCCTGGTAGGTTTGAACTCCTTAGCTAATGTCCCGGTCTAATATAACATACATTAGCCTGATAAGCTCCAGGGAGCCTCCGGGGCTCACCCAGAAAATGGCGTTTCATTACATTCAACGTTGTTTTTTTTTTTTTTTACATTAATTGGTGATGCTGTGGTCACAAACTGAACAGCAGAGCTGTGAGCTTATGCTGTGTGCGCCAGCCTTGGTGGCTCACTCAGTACTGAGGGTTTCACACCTGGGAATGTTGCCCACGATTTTTTTTTAAATGTTGTCTGTTTACAAGAGCCCTGTGGAAGCTGATGTGAACCCCGTGTAGCCATAAGCTGTTTAAATCTTGCGCGGTACTCCAAAATGTTATATGAAGGGGTGTGCACTTTCGCATAAGTAACAACACGTCATATGAAGTGTTGTGCAGTTTAAGGGTTAATAATTTGGTTAATAATTTTCATTCTTCTCAATTTGCATGCAGTTGTTAAACAAATAATCCTTACTAAATTATTTGTAAGGATATTTCAATGCACTTCAAAATCATTTTTATAAATTGTTTTCGTTAACAAGATTTCCTTGACTATTAAAATAAAAATTCACTCGTATTTTTCTACTTCTGGACTCTGCTATCACTATCACTATATTTAGACCAAATCACTTTTGAGTCAAGCAGATCAGAAGCAAAATTAATAATATCCATATTTTCTTAATTTACATACTGTAGTTAAATGGATAAAACTTACTAAGTTGATTACTTCAAGATCTTTTTTATAAGTTCTTTCTGTGGTTAAGATTTCCTTGGCAATAAAATAAGCCTTATCACTTGGGTATTTTCTTTTCCTGGACTCTCCTTCCATCTCTCCTACACGTGTTGGTGACACCGATTTGTCATGACCATTTGGAATAGATTCGACCCTGAAACAAAAATGAAATCATATTTAAACATTTTATATTTATATGCACAATCAAATGGATGAGTAATAAGACTCCTATGTTGAATGTAATAAAATGTCTCTTTCTGGAGGGTTCCCTTCTGTATCTCTCAGACCTATCCACCTCGAGTCCTAAAAACCCGGGTATCACACAAGAGTTATCACCACATGGGAAGATAAGAAACTTAGATGATTGTCATGCGCTTCAAGAAGACCTGGACAAAACAAGTGTATGGGGTACCACTTGGCACATGGAATTAAATGTGAATAAATACCATGTTATGGAATGTGCAACAGGAGAACATAGACCCCACACAACCTATAAATTATATGAGAAATCTTAAAAAAAAATCTGATAAAGAAAGAGATCTAGGGGTGATTCTAACCAGGCTGTGAACAACCAGGCAGTGACTCACAAATCAGGCTGCAAGCAGCCTCATCGAATAGCCTGATTGATCAAACCAGTAACCAGGAGACCTGCTCAGAAACTGAGCTGCTGGGACATTGATCCTCGCAATCATCAACAGGTAGTCAATCCACCCGCAAGGACACTGGACACACCCCGCATGTGAACCGAGTGGAGCACCAAACCATAAGAAGCCAGGAAAGGGTGCTACATGAAGCATTCAACTCCACAGGTGAATGAACTTTGTGTTCGTGTTTAATGTGTTTGTAACACATTAAACAACAGGGAAGGATGGCGCAACGGAATCAAAACTCCAAAAATCCGAAGTGGAAGTTGGCAAAGCAAGAGCCAATGAAGGGTGGGAGGAGTCCAAACCCACTAGTTCTGGGAATGGCAGTAGGAGTAACCTGAGAAACTGGAACAATGCCTGGAGCAAAACCCTGTCAAGGGGGAAGACAAGACAGGCAAAGTTCTGACTCCCACACAATTGCTCGACTAATCAGCAAATCATCCAGGGTCAATCCAACACCAGACGGAGACAAAGATGCAGACGGTGCAAAACCACCAGAGGCAGGGAAAGAGACACTAACTGCAAGTTCCAAGTAAGACCCAGCCAAGTCCCATCCTGGGACAGCGCCTTCCGCTAGTTCACCATGAACTCGAACCCGGTGGCTTTGGAAAACCACGAGATACCTAGCCAGCTGAAACGCAGACTGAAAGGGGACACCAGTCACTCATCGAAGTAGGTCAACACATGAACCCCTGACAAATGCAACCAGACCACATCGGCCAGTTTACCATGCTAGCATGGGCTAGCCTGGTATACAGGAAGGGGGCCAGGTTCAAGCCGAACAAAAGATGCCTGCAGTAGAAAGCATGGTGCCCAGTGACAAAGCCTGACCAATTTGTAAACCCCAGAGGCACGGCGACATGCCAATACACATCCTTGAGGTCCAGGGACACCACCAAATAGACCTCAATTAAAAAAAAATTTTGATGACAGAGTATTGAGCAAATGTAATGTCTTTAGATATGATAGGGCACAATATGGTCAGGAACCTGAACATTAGTTGATTGACTGTTGATGATGGGACCAGAGTCAAAGCTAAACAAGCAAAGTTTTATGCGAGTACAGTGCTACAGCATCTCCAGACCCTGCTTACATCGCTGTACTGTATATTCATACATTAAAAACAATGAAACTTACCTATTATTCACATGATTAGAGAGAGGAATATTCTCCTTGTGTGCAGAAAGTGGGGTTGTATCCAGTGGAGATGCATTAAAGGTTGGGGAGTTGCTAATGGACTGCTCTTGTATCACAGCTGATGTCGGAGATGAAGGGAACTGAGAAGGTGATGCCGGAACTTCCTCGTTGACACTCGCTACTAGTGTATCAACTGGACTGGCCGCTGTTTGCACATGCATTGAATTGGCAACTGTTTGGAAAATAAAGAAATTAATTACTGGTACAGTAGTTGTACAATTATTTTCAAGTAAATATTGAATACCTGTATTAAAAGAATGTCAAGTTAAAAATACTTTCTGCCATTGCTTTCACTTTGCAGCTCTTTATGTTCTTATTATTCTTAAGAGTATTAATGTCTGAAAGCACCTACCAAAAATAAAAAAAACATGTGATTGAAAAATCTCTAGAATAGGAAAAAGTTTATAGCTTCAATTACTAACTTGTACCAAATGCTTAAACTGAAATATTTAAAATATTCTGCAACTAAATATAATATAGGATATGCAAATGATTGCATAAATATCTACATTGCGATCCAATGAAATATTAAAGCATACAGATAATCTATGAGCATATTGGCTCTACTGGATTCCTTGAATACCATAACTATTATTAGGAAGCATACTCCCTAGCCCAACTTCATGCATTGTGGTTTTATGTAAGAAGTATATACAGAAAAAGAGACCCACTTTTTCATATGTAAATATAAATAAAATAAAATCTCAAAAATAGAATCAATTATATTTACAAGAAATTACAAATAGGCAAAAAAAATAAAATCCTGGAATCTAGAATAAAGTTAAATTTGTATCAAAAGTTGAGGAAAAAAATAATTATATAATATATTTGTGATGTAAAGTTATATTGATAATAAGGAACACATTACCAAAATCATTAAAAATAAATAAATAACCCAGCACTGAATAAAAAAAAATAACTTTCTGGAGGAGCCCTGGTGGCTCCTTAAAACTATCTTGAGATTGCTATGTACTAAAGGAGTCACCTCAGTCACGGAAGTTCTGATTGGCCTACTGGGGACCTATGCCAGAGCCTGGCCGCCCTCTCAGAGGTGCAGGGAGCAGGTAACAATCTGCCACCCCACCAGCCGTAATCTAGAGAAAGTCAACACGGTTTTATAGACAACTGGAGGGTTTACAGAAAATGAAGCATCGAAACTGCCAAGCAACTCGGCAGGTGATTCACACAGAACAAGGAATTCAATCAAATTAATTCAAAACTTGTTAGGGTCAGTAATTAGTACAGTACTAAGTGGCCTAGCCCTAGTCCTCTGTCACCTCAGTACCTCAATTTTGGAGTAGAGAAGCTACACACAATGAACCAATGAACCTAGAGGGAGGGGTTCCTTAATTCATTGTGAAACTCATCATTACATTCAATGTTGTGTTTCTGGAGGAAGTCCTCAGTGACTCCCATGAAACTAACCACAGAGAGTAAAAATGTAACTTGCCAAGAAAGAAGAGAAGCAGGAGACATTAGGACAAAGAGGAGATATCAGGCCAGGAGACATGACTCAAGGCAATGCACAAATACCAAGCCACGAGAACCATGTTAGAATGCCAAAACTCTCAAGCCCAAATATAAGTCCAAGACATGTTAGAAAAGACAGTGGCCAAAGCCACATATCTGCAAACATCATGGGGCCCAAGCATTGACCACAGGATGGCTAGATTTAATGACCCTGCAGATGACCTGAGAAAGACAAGCCATGGAATGGGGATCCAAGAAAACAGGGTCAAACAATAAAGTTTCCACTGAGGCAGAACCAGTAGCACACAGGTAGCAGTGAAGGGCCACCACTGGACACAACAAATGATGCATCCCCGATCAAACCAACCAAGTATCAATCACCATAGGTCCCCTTCAGAAGCCTTCCAGCTCATTCTTTGCCAGAAAAGACACAAAAGGCTGCAAATGAAACAAATAAACAAACTGTCCAACTGGACAAAATGAACTGAACCCCCAACTCCAGAGAAGAGTCTGAAGCTCCCCAACCCTCCAGTCGGTGGTGAGAGCCAACAAAACAACAGCCTTAAGAAAAACATCATGGGCCAAAGGGGAACTGTTAACTGAGGCAAGGAGAGAAAACTAAAACCCCATCAAGAGACCAAGATGGCTGAAGAGAAGCATGAGCAGGCTGGAGGTGAAAAAATGCACGAGACAAAATGTGGAACAACGCCGGAAGGTATTGACACCGAATATAAGCTTTTGCTTGCATTCGGTGTCAATATCTTTGGCGTCAATAGCAGCTCTGCCAACGATGAACTATAAGAGGTGACAATATTCAAAATGAGATGCTGATTAAGAAACAACCATGACAAGGACAGGACAAACTGGATGAAGACCAAGGAAAGATGACCAAGAGACAAGTAATGGGGAAATGAGCATCTGGCAACCTTATACTAATGATGCAAATAAAGACGCAGGTGGGACACCAACAAACTAGCCACCTGCTCGGCATATAAATGGCGATAGGTATACATAAAAAATACTGGACGTGTACAGCAGAGGAGAAATTCCAATCAGCGAGATATATCATCGAGCGGATCTGCTGAAAGGGGCAGAACCATGGAAAACATCTGGATTCGATATTAGGCCAGCAGCATTGGAAACCAGGGCTCAGCAGACCACCAAGGAGTCAAAAGTACGAAACTAGACTGTAGTTTGGACACCTGGAGTAACAACTGAACTGGAAAAACAGGTAAATGAACCTCCACGTCAACCAGTCCAGTTAAAAGTCAGCCACATACATAGGAGGGAAGGTGCTGGTTCCATGCTGGGCATAGAGAAGTCCACCTTAGGGCAGCTTAAATGGCCAAAGACAGTGGCTTTTCTGCTTACAAAGCCAGCAGAAGTATGAATCATCAACAGTCCACTCCATGGAGATAGGATGAGATGGGATAACTCATCTGCAAAAACATTCAACATACCCCACATGTGATCCATGCAGGGAACTAAACCTTGAGAAGCCAGAAACTGAGTCCCAAAGCATCCAGCTCTACAGTGGAAGAGCCCAAAGTGACTCCCATGGTTCATGTAATGAACCACTGGGGAGCAGTCGAAGTGAAGCTGGAGCATCAAGCCTGGAGGAAGCTGAATCCTCCTCAGTGCCTGCCACATCACCCCAAACTACGCTTGAAGTAAAAGACCCCCCCCCCCCCCCCGAGTGGCCTGATGAGCTCCAGTCATGAAGTCCCAACCCCAGGGGGAGAGGGTGGCACCATGGAACCGAACCCCAAAATGCAGAAGCAGAAGCTGGTGATGCAAGAGCCGACAAAGACTGTGCAGGGCCTGAACCTCCTGGTCCTGGGAGTGGTGGAATGGGCATTACTGGATAAACCAATACAACACCTGAAGCCCAATTCTGCCCAAAGGAAAGGCAATGCAGGAAAACTCAGGCTTTCGTATAACCACTCGACCAACTGACCAGTCACCCAGGACTGATGAAACACCAAACAGAGCAAAATCACCAGAGGCAGGGAAAGGGATGCCGACTAGTACCAAACAGGACTCAGCCAAGTTCGAACCTGGGATGAAACCAACTGGGACTTCCTCCAGTTCAGTAGGAACTCAAACCTGGTGAGGTAGAAAAAAATCTCTGGCCAGCTAACATGCAGACTGACAGGGGTGCCCCACATTGGCCTGTCATTGAGGTAGGCCAACAGGCCAACCTCTAACAACAATTGTAGCCACAATGATCTAACATGGGTAAACACATGGGGAAACCAGGTTCAAGCTAAAGTGGTAAGGTTGATGCCCCACAACAAAGCTTAATCAGTCCATTAACCCCAGACGTATAGGACATGCCAATAGGCATCACTGATGTCCAGGGACACATCCAAGCTCCAGCCAATAATAGCAGGCGATTCAGAGCAAGACCCGAGGGGGTATGGCGAAGACTGGAAGCCAGATGAACCACACCCGCAGAGAAAGGAAGAGGCGCGAAGACCTAGTCCAGGTGGCAGTCACTAACATCTCGAATTCTAAATCCCTTAACACCACAGAGGTCAACTCTGGGGCATCCCGCCAATCAGTATGCCACAAATGCCTAACATGAGCAAACCTAGGTAGCAAAGCTACAGCTACCTGAAATGCCTCCAACTAGGAGGTGGAATCCATCAATGAAGAGACCCAGTAAGAGCAAACCTCCCAGGACTCAGGGTCATAGGTATCCCTGACCCAACAGGTAGCATTGCAGGGGCAGAAACAATGATCATCCTGTAGCAAGCACCTACTTTGTGGTTACTTTGCGATGATTTCAGAGCCCAAGTTCCCCACAGCCCAGTCCTTGACCAGGGGCTCTTGGTTGCTGGACTGGTCAACCAGGATGTTGGACATGGCATAGTCGCATACTCCCTGCACCTCTGTGAGGGAGCCAGGTTCTGGCTCTGTTCCCCAGTAGGCTAAACAGAATTTCTGCAACTGATGTGACCCTTCAGTTTGTAGCAATCTCATCAAAATAGCTTCAGAGACCCATCAGGAGGGAGGTTCCTCCTGAAAGCAATTACAGTACTGGCCAGTTTTTTTGTTAAAATTTGAATATGCATTTGCTTGTACAGCACATAACTGCAAACAAATGTTTAAATAATACCCATGTATAATCATAGGTAACAGTTTAGGTGAATGTGAGAATACACAAATTCATGTAATAGTGTAATGTACGTGAGTGTACACTCACACTCTTACAAATTTAAAACAAAATAATGAGTTAAAAATTAAAACAAAATAATAAGTTAAAAATTAAAACAATAAAATGTTCACATGAAGAAACAAGGTACTGCTAACATAGGCAAAATAAACCTATCAGCCAGACACTGTTATCACTGTTGGCATAATCATTATACTGCACTTTTATCATTCCTTTCCAGTAAAAACCAAGCATTGAATGTAATATAACTCCTCTTTGTGGTGGATCCTTGATGGCTTCTTGGTCATAGTTACCTGGATGGGTCCACTCAATTCAATCCATGCCAAGTCCTTGCAAGTCATTATAAGCCTACTTGGGACCAAGGGCCAAAACCTGGCCCACTCTATAGAGATGCAAGGAGCAGGTTATCCTAGATTACCACAAATCAAGAAAAGGCTACCAGAAAGGTTGGCGAGGAAAACATATAATCAGCATAATAAATAAATCATAGAAAACAAATCAATAAAGGCCCAAAACCAACAAAC